GACTAAAAGGGAAACACAGCCGCGAGCTGCCCAGTGAGACAAGCCTACCAGATGAGCTAAATTACTTCAATGCTCGCTTCGAGGCAAGCAACACTGAAGCATGCATGAGAGCATCAGCTGTTCCGGACAACTGTGTGATCACGCTCTCCGTAGCCGATGTGAGTAAGACCTTTAAACAGGTCAACATTCACAAGGCCGCAGCGCCAGACGGATTACCAGGACGTGTACTCCGAGCAGGCGCTGATAAACTGGCAAGTGTCTTCACTGACATTTTCAACCTGTCCCTGACTGAGTCTGTAATACCAACATGTTTCAAGCAGACCACCATAGTCCCTGTGCCCAAGAACACTAAGGTAACCTGCCTAAATGACTATCGACCCTTAGTACTCACGTCTGTAGCCATGAAGTGCTTTGAAAGGCTGGTCATGGCTCACATCAACACCATTATCCCAGAAACTCACATTTGCATACCGCCCCAACAGATCCACAGATGTTGCAATCTATATTGCACTCCACACTGCCCTTTCCCACCTGGACAAAAGGAACACCTATGTGAAAATGCTATTAATTTACTACAGCTCAGCGTTCAACACCATAGTGCCCTCAAAGCTCATCACTAAGCTAAGGACCCTGGGACTAAACACCTCCCTCTGCAACTGGATCCTGGACTTCCTGACGGGCCGCACCCAGGTGGTAAGGGTAGGTAACAACACATCTGCCTCGCTGATCCTTAACAAGGGGGCCCCTCAGGGGTGCGTGCTCAGTCCCCTCCTGTACTCCCTGTTCACCCATGACTGCATGGCCAAGCACGACTCCAACATCATCATTAAGTTTGCCGACGACACAACAGTTGTAGGCCTGATCACAGACAACGATGAGACAGCCTATAGAGAGGAGGTCAGAGACCTGGCCGTGTGGTGCCAGGATAACAACCTCTCCCTCAACGTGATCAAGACAAAGGAGATGATTGTGGACTACAGGAAAATGAGGACCGAGCACGCCCCCATTCTCAACATCGGGGCTGCAGTGGAGCAGGTTGAAAGCTTCAAGTTCCTTGGTGTCCACATCACCAACAAACTATTATGGTCCAAACACACCAAGACAGTCGTGAAGAGGGCACGACAAAGCCTATTCCCCCTTAGGAGACTGAAAAGATTTGGCATGGGTCCTCAGATCCTCAAAAGGTTATACAGCTGCACCATCAAGAGCATCCTGACTGGTTGAATCACCGCCTGGTATGACAACTGCTCGGCCTCCGACCGCAAGGTACTACAGAGGGTAGTGCGTACGGCCCAGTACATCACTGGGGCCAAGCTTCCTGCCATCCAGGACCTCTATACCAGGCGGTGTCAGAGGAATGCCCTAAAAATGGCCAAAGACTCCAGTCACCCTAGTCATAGATGTTCTCTCTGCTACCGCACGTCAAGCGGTACCAGAGCGCCAACTCTAGGTCCAAAAGTCTTCTTAACAGCTTCTACCCCCAAGCCATAAGACTCCTGAACATCTAATCAAATGGCTACCCAGACTACTTGCATTGCCCCCACTGTTTTACGCTGCTGCTGCTCTCTGCTTATTATCTATGCATAGTCACTTCACCTCTACCCACATGTACATATTACCTCAATTACCTCAACTAACCTGTGCCCCCGCACATTGACTCTGTACCGGTACCTCCTGTATATAGCCTCGCTACAGTTATTTTACTGCTGCTCTTTAATTAATTGTTATTTTTCTATTTTTCTTATTTATTTTTTACAAATCTATTCTTTTTTTACTTAACACTTATTTTTCTTAACTGCATTGTTGGTTAAGGGCTTGTAAATAAGTATTTCACTGTTGTATTCGGTGCATGTGACAAATACATTTTGATTTGATGTAAAATTTGAATTTAATGAGTAGGTGTGTCAACTTTTGACTAGTACTGTATGTGTTGAAATATGTGTACTGTATCTTGTAGCATGTTACAATTGTATCTATATGCTATCTTCTGCTATTAATGTTTTATAAAACAAACTTTTCAAATGTTTTCTTTTACATTACACCTTCTTCTTCTTCTTCTTCTTCTTCTTCTTCTTCTTCTTCTTCTTCTTCTTCTTCTTCACTAAAATCCTGCCAATATGACCGTGTGGGACAGTCTTGACAAATAAACCAGACATTCCTACAGTAGTCACATGGTTTTACTGTTTAACTTGTAATACTCTACAACCAAACTATAGTCTACATACCGAGTCCTCTGTCCTGGTCCTGTTTCTCGCATTGTAAGTGGTTTACAAACTTGTCAATCCAGTTATTGTTACTGCCCCACATAGCAAGACTGTGTATGGATGTGAACTATCTGGATTTTCATGGATCACCAAGTTTAAAGTACGTTTATCTCTTAAATAATCAATGTCTATTTGTTGATATGAATATCAATGTGTTTTAGGCAAATTCACTTCTATTGAGATAACAGATTTTGGCCTATATGCATACCACGAATACTACACTCACTCACTGTCACTTTGGATATTGATAATAACAACATTAGGCTACATGTGGTGGTTTACAAACCCATTTTATTTAAGGGAAATGTTTTGGGGAACATAATGTAGCCTATAGTCAAATGTTTTGGAAATTAATGCTATTTTAATGGTACATTGAACAGCTATTACGAATTAATTATAGGGTATATAGCCTGTTGTTTTTAAGTTTGGACAGCTTGTTCTTTTTTCTTTTCTTTTTTTTGGTCAAAAGTTCGCACAATCGTTTCCCCTTATAACAATTAGGAAACGATCAAATGTATCCTCTCTGAGTGGAACAGATTTTTATCCTCATGGGTGAAACAAACTTGTGGTCATTGCAAACTGTTGAGTAAGGACGGGAACACCGAAATGCGAAAACATTGTGCATCAGTAGTCCTTTAAACATGTACTTATTACTGAAAGTAGGTTATTTCGCACACTAAATCTTATAAAACATGAGAATGTCGATCAATCGATTGCAGTAGCGTGTGCGAGACAAATGCCGCGTTCACGTACTAGTTGGAATAAGACAACTCTGACATTTCCGACATGCTAACTGGATGTAGTTATACACGTGCTGCGTTCAACTAGCAAGTCGGACATTTCAGAGTTTCCTAGTTCCGATTAGCACTTGAACTCGGCAAAATACTGTTTTCGAAAGGGCGTTTGGCGAAGAAGTGTCAACAAAGTGTATTTTATTGATACGTTGTATCGTGATTGGTCTGTGTCAGCACGTGGTCCTGTGACGACAATTACACAGGACCAATTTTGTTTGATTTCTAGGCGGTTCTGGTATTTACATAGGCTTTCTAGGGCATACCAGTATTTTTGGCAAGACTAGGTTGCAACGCAGTAGCCGACCAGCATAGCTCGTGACTTCATGCTCCAGACTGGACAGGGGCCTGCGCCCTATCTATAACGCTTCAAATGAAATCAAATGTTATTTGTCACATGCTTCGTAAACAACAGGTGTAGACTAACAGTGAAATGCTTAGGCGACTTTTCAGTGAAACATATTGAATAGAGCCCTATGCTGAGAGAGCGAAAGAGATGGGATAGACTGCAGCTGTTTTGTTTCATTGTGTTATGTTTTTGTTCTCTTTTATTTTGTTTCCTTATTGAATTATTTGTACTCATTTCATTTCTTTACATACTTACACACAACACCTCATGTATGCACTCTAAATAGCTACATGTAGACTAATACATTCATCCATGCACTCCTATTTGCACACACCCATACAAAATCATGTGTACAAGTTGGTGTGTGTGTGTGCTTGAATGTGTATGTGAAAACACACACACAGTACTGACACACCCCCTCCCCTTTTGCCCTCAGAACAGGCTTGGATGGTGGACCATTCTTGATACACACCGGAAACTGTTGAGCATGAAAAACCTAGCAGCGGTGCAGGTCTTGGCACCTACTACCATACTCCATTCAAAGGCACTTAAGTGTCATCAATAGGGGATCATAGCTTTCACCTGGCTTCACCTGGTCAGACTGTCATGAAAAGAGCAGGTGTTCTTGATGTTTTGTATACTCAGTGTATATCTTCTTATATATATATAAAAAAAGTGCTTTTTAGATTCACATTATTACAATTTTTATTTATTTTATTTCTATACATAAAAAATATATTGTAAAATATATAATATATATATATAGTCCCCCTTCTCTAATCACATCACTATTATGACCATTATTATTATGTATTTATTATTGTTATTATTTTATTTCTGTACTGTTATTGTTGATGTCCTCTCACTTCGCTTTAGCAACAGTGGCTTTGTCATTCATGCTGAGAGAGAGGCTGTCACAGACACAACTGACTGTATTGAGAAGTCTGATATTTTAGACATATTTCATAGATATATTTTTTGCCTTTGTAGCCTGAAGGAACAGCTGCTGTGGTAAATGACTCTACCTCTGTTCAACCAAGCAGCCAAGAACACCAAGTATTAAAAGTGATGCTGAGTTTAATGTGGAGGTCATAGTAAAACTCAAACTAAAAGTGCATCTAATTATTTAAGTCTCAGACTTGTATTGTGCCCAACAGAGATGTTCGATCGGGTTCAAGTCCGTGCTCTGGCTGGGCCACTCAAGGACATTCAGAAGCCACTCCTGCGTTGTCTTGGCTATGTGCTTAGGGTTGTTGTCCTGTTGGAAGGTGAACCTTCACCCCAGTCTGAGGTCCTGAGTGCTCTGGAGCAGGTTTTCATCAAGGATCTGTTTACGTGCGTGTGTGTGTGAGTGGGTGTGTGTGAGTGGGTGTGATAGAGTGAGTGACAGACAGAATGTATGAAAGAGTGAAAGGGATGTAGTAAATGTGTGCTCGTACATACATGCTTGTCTTTTGTTTCTGACTGTCCCTCTGATTCTCTGATTCAGCAGACTCTGTATGACCCCATGACCTGGTTGCCGGGGAGCTAGTCGGACCATGGCTGCCGGTGTGGCTTTGGGGGAGAGCCAGCTTCAGAGGATTATCAGAGATCTGCATGGTACGTTGCCATTTTGTGTGTGTGTGTGTGTGTGCTTGTGCGAGACTCTATGTGACTGTTCACATCAGTCTCTTTGTGACAACGAGTGCGTCCGCCTGTGTAAATGTGACAGGGGGAGGCCTGCCACTGCCTGCTGACAGCGAGTGACAGAGAGGTAGAGAAAGAGAGAAGGATCGTAGAGGTAAAGTGACAGAGGGGTTGCAGTGGCCTGGATGTGACTGGCTTGGCCTTGGCTACAAGCCAGACAGCATTTCTTTCCACACTTTGGGAGGACATCATGGAGCTAACCCTCTCCCCCAGCCCCCGGGGTGTGCCCCCTAGAATGTGGCGTGGGTGACCGAGAGGCCCTGTCAGCATGCAGCAGGAGAGAGAGGGGGTGCTCAGCCTCAGGGTGCACCCGTCACGGGTGTCTTTCCATTTTTTACGCTGGATGAGAGGCAAGAGGGTAATGTACTGAGCTGGGAGAGCTGGGATGTGTGAGGAAGGTGGAAGGGGACTGGAGGAGATCTTTGTGGAGGTAAAGATGAAAGGAGGATTTGGGGAGACATGCCAGGGTGGATATACTGAGCTTTCGACTCCATCTGTTCTGACTTGTATATGACCTGGAAACCATTTAAATGTTTCCAGGGCAGTGTGAGGATATTACATCTGACTGTCTGTATGTGTGGTGCGTTTGCATGTGTATATGTGTGTCAGTGTGTGACCTCAGATTGTTTGTCATTGAATGGTGGGACCGTTTTCTTTGAGTTGTAATAGGTTCTAGAAATTCCAGGGTAGCAGGCCTATCGGATTAGATGGGTTGAGGTTTTTTGCATTTTGTTCAGCAGAATGAGGCTACCAGGTCAGGGATAAATCATATTAATGTGTTTCTCAGCAGGTAAAAGGCATGTAGCTGCTGTAGTAGAGCCTCTCATTTTTTGTCAGTGGTGTCTGAGTGAGGGGAATGCACGTGTATTATCGATGTATATGCCTTAAGTGTCTTTACATCTGTTTGTGTTCTGTGATGGACTCTCTCTCTCAACCACAGATGCTGTTGCTGAGCTCACTAAAGAGTACAGGGAGAATGAGGAGCCAATCACAGATGATAGTCCCAATCTGCACAAATTATCCTACAAACTGGAGTACCTGCTGCAGGTGAGTCCTTGGGTGGTGGACCATTCTTGATACACACGGGAAACTGTTGAGCGTGAAAAACCCAGCAGCATTGCAGTTCTTGACACACTCAAACCGATGCGCCTGGCACCTACTACCATACCCTGTTCAAAGGCACTTAAATATTTTGTCTTGCCCATTCACTATCTGAATGGCACACATACACAATCCATGTCTCAAGACTTTAAAATCATGTTTTAACTTGTCTTCTCCCCTTCATCTACAATGATTGAAGTGGATTTAACAGGTGACATCAATAAGTGAACATAGCTTTCACCTGGATTCACCTGGTCAGTCTATGGCATGGACAGAGCAGGTGTTCCTAATATTTTGTACACTCTGAGTATAAATGTGAACAGGAGTAATAGTGACCAGGAGCAGGATAAAATAGATAGATACTAATGGTAATGGGAATCAATAATCAATTAATAGTAGTGTAGTGGTAGTAATACATCTAATCAATAGTAATTGTAGCAGCAGCGTATGTGTGAGGGGGAGAAGTAGTTGTTTAAAAGCTGTTTAGGAGTGTGTTGGTCTGAGCCTTGATGCACCGGTACCATCTGCCGGACGGGAGCAAGGACCTAGCACGCAATGACTACATCAAGCTTGTGACTCTACATATATATTGGATGCATTTGCAGTTAGTTTTGGTTTTGTTTCAGATGATTTTGTGCCCAATATAAATGAATGGTAAACAATGTATATTGTCATTTTGGAGTCACTTTTATTGTAAATAAGAATAGAATATGTTTCTAAACACTTCTACATTAATGTGGATGCTACCATGATTACCGATAATCCTGAATGAATCATGAATAATGATGAGTGAGATAGTTACAGATGGTCAAAGATCATACCCCCAAGCCATGCTAATCTTCCCTGTTATTGGTAATGGTGAGAGGTTAACATGTCTCTGGGGTATGATCTTTGACCCTCTATATAACTTTCTCACTCATCATTATTCACGATTCATTCAGGATTATCCGTAATCATGGTAGCATCTACATTAACGTAGAAGTGTTTAGAAACATATTCTGTTCTTATTTATAATAAAAGTGACTCCAAAATGACACAATACATTATTTACCATTAATTTATATTGGGCACAAAATAATCTCCAATACAACCAAAACTAACTGCAAATGCAGCCAACAAGTTTGTAGAGTCACAAACTTGATGTAGTCATTGCTTGCTAGGAATATGGGACCAAATACTAAACTTTATTCATAAGAATCTTTAGGGGTGTCAATAATTTGGACCCCTACCTTTTTGAGAAAATAAATATTACTTGTTAAACAAAATCTCTTTCTCTGATCAATTGTTTTAATATAAAAATATATAATTTCCCAATTTTTTTGCATTCCCTATTTGAATTATGTATTTTATACAGTCATTATTGTTAATCTTTATCAAGGATGTCAATCATTTCGGACCCCACTGTATCTACTGCTGTACATATCATTCTTAATATATATTTTCAGTGTATATACACACAGATTGTATTTGGATTACTGATACAGTTTTATTTAGGTTGTTAATTGGATTCGTTCTGACATTTCTTGATTTTAGTTTTTTTTATTTGTGTACTTTGACATTTTACTGCACTGTTAGGAGCTAGTAACACAATCATTTTGCTGCACCTGCTATAACATCTGCTAAGCTGTGTACACAACCAATAAACTTTGATTTGATTTAATCAGGGGCGGTTTTCCAGACACTGATTAAGCTTAGTCCTAGACTAAAAGGCAAATCTGTGTCCAGCAGAATCCAAGTCAAATCAAGGCCAACCTGCTATGCTCACCAATATGGCATTGTTCACATCACTATACAGTATGTCATATAAGATTGGTTGCTAACGTGTCATCTATGCTATTCAGTTTGACCAGAAGGAGAAGACAACATTTCTTGGCACAAGAAAAGACTACTGGGATTATTTCAGCGACTGTCTGGCCAAGATCAAAGGAGCCAACGATGGTATCCGCTTTGTCAAATCCATCCCAGAGGTATGGAGATCAGCACTTTTAAAAGTCAATTATAGGGATTGTCAACTTTTATTACACAATGTTTAGTAATAATTAATATGTAATGACGTTCTATCTTCAGAGGTTTTTTGCCACCATTTCTGTGCCAAAATAAAGGAAACACTTGAGTAAATGAGGGATACAAAGTATATTGAAAACAGGTTCTTCCACACAGGTGTGGTTCCTGATTTAATTAAGCAATTAACATCCTGTCATGCGTAGGGTCATGTATAAAAATGCCCAGTTGCCCATTATTTTGGCTACCATGGCTAGAAGAAGAGATATCAGTGACTTTGAAAGAGGGGTCTCAAAGGAGCATAGGGGTTTAAAATGTGTGTATGTCAGTCACCAGATCTCAACCCAATTGAACACTTATGGGAGATTCTAGAGCGACGCCTGAGACAGCGTCTTCCACCACCATCAACGAAACACTAAATTATGGAATTTCTCGTGGAAGAATAGTGTCGCGTCCCTACAATAGAGTTCCAGGCACTTCTAGAATCTATGACAATTTGCATTGAAGCTGTTCTGGCGGCTCGTGGGGTCCCAACGCCCTATTAAGACACTTTATGTTGGTGTTTCCTTTATTTTGGCAGTTACCTGTAGTTATAAGGACATGGGGGAATTTGGCATTCTGCTGGGTAGTGGACACTAGCCATGAAACACAAATACTATTTGTTAGCAGTGTCACGAACCGGCTCAAAGTTCGTAACAAAAAGGGAGACACCGTGGAGACAAGGAATACCAAAATATATATTTATTAACTAAAGTAAACTAAATATAATTAACAATGGTGTGTGTAATCAGTAGTGTAAGTGAGTGTTTTGCATGCATCAATGTAATAATGCAAGGTGTTGAAAGGTGCCAAAGCAAACAACCAAAAACCACAAAACTACCACAACAAAAATCAATCAAGGTGTCTGCATGGAGAGAGTCTCTCCAATGAATGTAGAAGAGGTCAATTTATCCTGGGACACACCCGGGCCCAGGTGTTTCCCATGTAGCTGACGACCCTCCCAACTCCGCCCACCGGCATCCTAATAAGGAAACAAGAGCAAAGAGAGAGAATACGGCAGACAGAGTGGGAGGGTCGTCACAGCAGGATCTACACAACAGATGTTGAATATGGATGAATGATTATAAACCACTTTTGAGTAATGAAAATGTCTGACAAATGTTGATTTGAGCTATCCTTTTAACGGACATGTTCAAGAAGCACATATGCTCATTTAAGGCCTCATTTGTGCTGCAGATGAACAGCTATCACATACATTTGCTGTACAGCACTGTGAATATGTTCTTTACTTTGCCCTTCCAGCTGAAGACATCTCTGGGGAAGGGCAGGGCTTTCATTCGGTACTCCCTGGTGCACCAGCGACTGGCTGACACGCTGCAGCAGTGTCTGATGAACCAAAGGGTAACCAGGTAAAACTCAACACCACTCCGGCAACAGTTTTAGGGGTTGAACATGGATGCGTAGGGTCAAATTTGGGGAACATAATCATGTTTGGCTAAATTAAGGGACTGTTAATGTTTTGGTTGAAATGACAGTTCATTAGACACAGACTACTATTCTGAGATTTGGACTGCTCTGACGGTAAGTTCACTGTTTCAAGTAAACATAATTTCCTTTAATTTCTCTAGCCTTGTGGTGTTTTACTTCTGTAAACTTCTTTCTCTGTTCCTCAGGTACGTAAAGAGAGTGTGTCTGTACTATGGTACCAAAGGTTACTGGAAGCAGTGTCTAGTGGGTTTTGGAGTGGTTTAGATGTTTTCAGATGCAGTCATAATATATTGTACAGATCCACTTCTCGAAAAGTGGCTTCTCCCTTTGTGAAGAATTGTATCTGTATGCTCGATGTACTTGTGAAATGTATCTGTGTGTTTATAAAAGGGATGTCCATATTTCATATATGCACTGCACTTTTTGTGAGTGTCAAGGTAATTGAATATAACGAACAGGCTAAGTATATTAGTGAAGGTATGTCTATGTGAATGTGCCCTATCAATATGCTAATCTTCTTCTCTGTGCAGTGACTGGTACTATGCTCGCAGCCCCTTGCTGAAATCCCACCTCGGTGTTGACATCATAAATCACCTGTATGAGCTCAACGAGGTCCAGTTTGATGTGGCCTCCAGGGGTCATGACCTTGACTCGTCCTGGCCCACCTTCGCAAGGTGGGTACCCTCATAGATATCATCCTGACTAACATACCCTCTAAATACACCTCAGCTGTCTTCAACCAGGATCTCAGCGATCACTGCCTTATTGCCTGCGTCCGTAACGGGTCCGCGGTCAAACGACCACCCCTTATCACTGTCAAACGCTCCCTAAAACATTTTAGCGAGCAGGCCTTCCTAATTGACCTGGCCCAGGTATCCTGGATGGATATAGATCTCATTCCGTCAGTAGAGGATGCCTGGTTGTTCCTTAAAAGTAATTTCCTCTCAATCTTAAATAAACATGCCCCATTCAAAAAATACAGAACTAAGAACCGATATAGCCCCTGGTTCTCCTCAGACTTGACTGCCCTTTACCAGCACAAAAACATCCTGTGGCGTACTGCATTAGCATCAAATAGCCCCCGCGATATGCAACTTTTCAGGGAAGTTAGGAACCAATATACACAAGCAGTCAGGAAAGCAAAGGCTAACTTTTTCAAACAGAAATTTGCATCCTGTAGCACTAACTCCAAAAAGTTTTGGGACACTGTAAAGTCCATGGAGAATAAGAGCACTTCCTCCCAGCTGCCCACTGCACTGAGGCTAGGAAACACTATCACCACCGATAAATCTACAATAATCGAGAATTTCAACAAGCATTTTGCTACGGCTGGCCATGCTTTCCACCTGGCTACCACTACCCCGGCCACCAACTCTGCACCCTCCGCTGCAACTTGCCCATGCCCCCCCCGCTTCTCCTTCACACAAATTCAGACAGCTGATGTTCTGAAAGAGCTGCAAAATCTGGACCCCTACAAATCAGCTGGGCTAGACAATCTGGACCCTTTCTTTCTAAAACTAGCCGCCGAAATTGTCGCAACCCCTATTACTAGTCTGTTCAACCTCTCTTTCATAACGTCTGAGATCCCCAGAGATTGGAAAGCTGCCGCGGTCATCCCCCTCTTCAAAGGGGGTGACATTCTAGATCCAAACTGCTACAGACCTATATCCATCCTGCCCTGCCTTTCGAAAGTATTTGAAAGCCAAGTTAACAAACAGATCACCGACCATTTCGAATACCACCGTACCTTCTCCGCTATGCAATCCGGTTTCCGAGCTGGTCATGGATGCACTTCAGCCACGCTCAAGGTCCTAAACGATATTATAACCACGATTGATAATAGACAGTACTGTGCAGCCGTCTTCATCGACCTGGCCAAGGCTTTCGACTCTGTCAACCACCGCATTCTTATTGGCAGACTAAATAGCCTTGGTTTCTCAAATGACTGCCTCGCCTGGTTCACCAAATACTTCTCAGATAGAGTTCAGTGTGTCAAATCGGAGGGCCTGTTGTCTGGACCTATGGCAGTCTCTATGGGGGTGCCACAGGGTTCAATTCTTGGGCCGACACTTTTCTCCGTGTATATCAATGATGTCGCTCTTGCTGCTGGTGACTCTCAGATCCACCTCTACGCAGACGACACCATTTTGTATACATCTGGCCCTTCATTGGACACTGTGTTAACAAACCTCCAAACGAGCTTCAATGCCATACAACACTCCTTCAGTAGCCTCCAACTGCTCTTAAACACTAGTAAAACTAAATGCATGCTTTTCAATCGAACGCTGCTGGCACCCGCCCACCCGACTAGAATCACCACTCTCGACGGGTCTGACCTAGAGTATGTGGACAACTACAAATACCTAGGTGTCTGGTTAGACTGTAAACTCTCCTTCCAGACTCACATAAAGAATCTCCAATCCATAGTTAAATCTAGAATCGGCTTCCTATTTCGCAACAAAGCCTCCTTCACTCATGCTGCCAAACATGCCCTCGTAAAACTGACTATCCTACCGATCCTTGACTTCGGCGATGTCATTTACAAAATAGCCTCCAACACTCTACTCAGCAAATTGGATGTAGTCTATCACAGTGCCATCCGTTTTGTCTCCAAAGCCCCATACACTACCCACCACTGTGACCTGTACACTCTTGTTGGCTGGTCCTCACTACATGTTCGTCGTCAAACCCACTGGCTCCAGGCCATCTATAAATCACTGCTAGGCAAATCCCCGCCTTATCTTAGCTCATTGGTCACCATAACAGCACCCACCCGTAGTCTGTGCTCCAGCAGGTATATCTCACTGGTCATTCCCAAAGCCAACACCTCCTTTGGCCGCCATTCCTTCCAGTTCCCTGCTGCCAATGACTGGAACGAATTGCAAAAATCTCTGAAGCTGGAGACTCTTATCTCCCTCACTAACTTTAAGCATCAGTTGTCAGAGCACCTTACCGATCACTGCACCTGTACACAGCCCATCTGAAATTAGCCAACCCAACTACCTCATCCCTATATTGTTATTTATTTTGCTCTTTTGCACCCCAGTATCTCTATTTGCACATAATCTCTTGCACATCTAGCATTCCAGTGTTAATACTATTGTAATTATTTTGCACTATAGCCTATTTATTGCCTTACCTCCATAACTTGCTACATTTGCACACACTGTATATATATTTTCTGTTGTATTTTTGACTTTATGTTTTTTTACCCCATATGTAACTCTGTGTTGTTTTTATTGCACTGCTTTGCTTTATCTTGGCCAGGTCGCAGTTGTAAATGAGAACCTGTTCTCAACTGGCTTACCTGGTTAATTAAAGGTGAAATAAAAAAATAAATAAAAAAAGGTAACCAATCACAAAGATAAAGCTGTTTATAATACATCCCATTCTCCAGGTGCTGTGCATTGGATTGAGGGATTGATCAAATGTAGATTAAAACGATACTTGGTGATGTCACCTCATCACATGTGTGTTTTCTGATCTCCAGGAGGACACTGGGCATGCCCAACTCACCTGGCCACATGTGGAAACCACCCAGTCGCAGCTCCAGCATCAACAGTCTGGCCAGCACCTACTCACAGGTACTGACACAGCCCGCCTTCCTCCTCAAAGCTTTTACTCTGCTGGGACTAATATGGTTCTATTATGAACTGGTCATATCTTAACATATCATATTGCTAAGATTATACCATAATGAAACGTAAAACCATAAAATGAGTAGTGTCATCTGCACTCAATCTGATACTCTCTCTCTTTCCTCAACCCCCTAAACCACCGTAGCAGGCTCATGAGTTCCCTGGCAGCCCTGACTATGGCCCAAGCATGCTGAGCGAGTTGAACGAGTTGTTGCCTTCCGGCGTAGAGGTGAGTATGTTGGACAAGCTCCGCCTGGAGCTGGACCAGTCGGAGCTGAAGCAACAGGAGCTCCTGGACAGGGTAAGGCAGATGGGGGAGGAGAGTGCTGAGCTCAGGAGTGTGGTGGTGGAGCTCCAGAGGCAGCTAGACGTGTCGCTGACCGCCCAGGAGGAACAGCAGGGTATGCAAAGGACCCTGAAAGCCCTGGAGGCACGGGAGGAGGCCTTGTCCTGTGAGCTGGAGTCCCTGAGGGCCGGGGAGAGGGCCAGGGAGACCAAACAGCGCCACTTTCAGGAGAAGCTGGCTGCCGCAGAGGGGAAGAACGTAGAACTGATGGCCAAACTGGATGGGGTGTTGGATGAGAAGGGCCAGCAGGCGACTAGCTACTTTGACTCAGCACAGAAGATCCATGAGCTTCTGGACAGACTGAAGGAGGCTGAGAAGGGGAAAATAGAGGCTCTGGCAGAGGGAGAGGACAGGAGGAGGCAGGCCGACAGGCTGGCAGATGAGCTAAGGGTCAAGGAGGTTGCAGAAAAGGAGGACGAGGCCAAGCTCGAGGCGCTGTCAAAATCCTTTGCAGAGGGGAACGCTAAGTTTGCGGAGTGTGCAGAGGAGCAGCGTAACGCCATTGACAAGCTGCAGGGGGCATTGACTTTGAGCGAGAAGGAGGTCAACAACCTGCAGAGGCAGCTGCAGGACCTCCAGAGCACTCTGGAAGAGAGGGAGAGACAAGCAGAGGAGGCCAGAAACAGGGCAGAGGAGGAGAAAGAGGAGATCCAGGGAAGCATAGGCAGTCTGAAAAAGGCCTTGGAGGTGGAAGTCCTCTACCTGAAGGAGCAGTTGAAGAGCAGAGAGGCGGAGCTGCTCTCCAGCATCCAGAGGCTTCAGCACCTGGAGGTCCAGAGCCATAGCCTGACAACGGAGAGGGACATCCTGAGCGCCAACCTCTCCGAGCTGGAGTCCAGTGTCATGGAGCAGGCCAATAAAATCGAAGAGTACAAGACTCAGTGCACCAACCTGATGGAGCTGAATGGGAAGTTGCTTGACACAATGAAGAGGAATGAGGAGCTGAAGAAGGAGCTGGCAGAGAGCCGGGCAGCCCTGGAGGGCGAGGTGGCCTCTTTGAGAGCGTCAGACAAGCAACTGAGGGGCCAGCTGGACGACGCCAAGGTAACTGTGGATGAGAAGGACAGGAGGCTGTGTGAGGAGAACCGGGCCTTGGACGAGAGTCTGCAGAGGGCGGCCATGGCTGCCGAGGTCTCAGACGCCGCCACCAAACGGCTGAAGCAGGAGAACCAAGGCCTGAGGGAGGAGCAGGCTACGGTGAGGGCGGCGCTGAGCTCCCTGCAGGAGGAACTGATGTCCATCCACGGGCAGATCGGAGAGCTGGAGAAGACCTTGGGGGCATCCCGCAGGAGCGAGGCCAGCCTGCAGGAGCAGCTCAAAGACAGGAAGGCCCAGCTAGAGAACAAGGAGAAGGGCTGTGCAGAGCTCCAGGCCAGGGTGGAGGCCCTGGAGGCCAGAGGAAGGGCACTGGAGAAGGCTAAAGCAGATGCAGAAAAGGCCTGTGCCAAAAAGACAAAGCTGATAGAGAGGGTCACTACTGAGAAACAGACGGTGGAAAGAACACAGCTAAAGAGGAGCTCTGTCCAGGCCAAGGAGAACCAGGAGGTAGCCGCCAAGCTGACTATGGTGGAGGGCCAGCTGGAAGTGAACATGAAGGAGGTGTCCAGGCTCCAGGCAGAAGTGATGGATTTGAGAGTGCAGCTGAAGACCTCTGGGGAGGACAGGATGAGGAGCCAGGCCCAGCTGGAGGTGATGGAGGCCCAGAAAGACGAACTCAGGACCCTAACAGAGCAGCTCAAAGCCCAGACTGAGGCACTTAACCAGAGGCATGTGGCCGAGCTCCTGCAGTGCAAAGAGAGGGAAGAGGCTCTGAGCAGGGAGCATGACCAGGAGGCAGTCACCCGGGCCAAGTCGGCTGCCTCAGAGGCCTCCGCCAGGGGAGAGCTGGCCACGCTAAAGGTCCAAAATGAGAGGCTGGCCTTGGAGAATGCTGAGACACGCGAAGGCCTCCACCGGGCCAATACAGAGATGGCAGAGCTTGGGATGACTATCTGTAGACTGACGGCAGAAAGGGAGGTGGCCAAGGAAGGCTGGGCAGGGGAGGCAAGCAGGATAGGGGAGCTGGAGGAGAGAACTTCCAGGGAGGTGGAGCGGCTGGAGACCTGCATGGCCACCATGCGCCAGGAGAACACCAGCCTAAGAGAGGAGCTGAGGATGACAGAGAACCTTCCGGCAGCCATGCTGGAGCTGCAGGACAAGCTGGAGAAGGCAGAGGGCCAGGTGAGGAGCCTCCAGGACTCCAGTCGGGAGGAGATGGAGGCGGTCAAGTTCCAGATGAGCTCCGAGAGCATGAATCATCAGAACCAGATCAAGGTGAGTTTGGCTGGAGTTCTGTCAAAAGCCTGTGACATGGGGGAAATGAATGTGATTTAGAAAGTTAATTACTGTGTGTGAATCAGAATACATTTAGCTCTTAATGAAACAGTGTGCTTTTGCTGTGCAGGGGCCACAGAATACTCCTCACTTTCATTTCCATGTCACTTTCATGTTTTTGAATGACCAATTGACACCATTTGAACACCTGTATGTTTTGCTCTCTATCCAGAGTCTGAAAGATGAGGTGGGGAAACTGAGGGTCCAGCTGCCTAAAGAGCAAGAGATGGTGTCCAGTCTGGAGGCCAAAGTCTTTGAGTTAGAGGTCTGTACAATGCTTTGCAAAAGTATTCATCCCCCTTTGCACTTTTCCTATTTTGTTGCATTACAACCTGTAATTTAAATGGATTTTTATTTGGATTTCATGTAATGGACATACACAAAATAGTTCAAATTGGTGAAGTGAAATGAAAAAAATAACTTGGTTCAAAAAATTATAAAAAGTAAATAACGGAAAAGTGGTGCGTGCTTGTGTATTCACCCCCTTTGCTATGAAGCCCCTAAATAAGTTCTGGTGCAACCAATTACCTTCAGAAGTCACATAATTAGTTAAATAAAGTCCACCTGTGTGCAATCTAAGTGTCACATGATCTGTCACATGATCTCAGTATATATACACCTGTTCTGAAAGGCCCCAGAGTCTGCAACACCACTAAGCAAGGGACACCACCAAGCAAGCGGCACCATGAAGACCAAGGAGCTCTCCAAACAGGTCAGGGACAAAGTTGTGGAGAAGTATAGATCAGGGTTGGGTTATAAAAAATATCAGAAACTTTGAACATCCCACGGAGCACCATTAAATCCATTATAAAAAAATTGAAAGAATATGGCACCACAATAAACCTGCCAAGAGAGGGCTGCCCACCAAAACTCACAGACCAGGCAAGGAGGACATTAATCAGAGATGCAACAAAGAGACCAAAGATAACCCTGAAGGAGCTGCAAAGCTCCACAGCGGAGATTGGAGTATATGTCCATAGGACCACTTTAAGCTGTACACTCCACAGAGCTGGGCTTTACGGAAGAGTGGCCAGAAAAAAGCCATTGCTTAAAGAAAAAAATAAGCAAACACGTTTGGTGTTCGCCAAAAGGCATGTGTGAGACTCCCCAAACATATGTAAGAAGGTACTCAGATGAGACTAAAATTGAGCTTTTTGGCCATCAAGGAAAACGCTATGTCTGGCGCAAACCCAACACCTCTCATCACCCCGAGAACACCATCCCCAAAGTGAAGCATGGTGGTGGCTGCATCATGCTGTGGGGATGTTTTTCATCGGCAGGGACTGGGAAACTGGTCAGAATTGAAGGAATGATGGATGGCGCTAAATACAGGGAAATTCTTGAGAGAAACCTGTTTCAGTCTTCCAGAGATTTGAGACTGGGACGGAGGTTCACCTACCAGCAGGACAATGACCCTAAGCATACTGCTAAAGCAACACTTGAGTGGTTTAAATGTCTTGGAATGGCCTAGTCCAGGGGTGTCAAACGTCCGGCCCAAACGGGTTTAATCCGGCCCGCGAGATGATTTTGAAAAAATAAATAAAAAAAATTGGGAAAGTATAAAAATGCGCTGCAATTTTTCAATAAAATAAACTGCTGTTCCAATTGCGTCCACTGGATGGCGCAATAGCAATTGTGTTAAGCAAGCAAACTGTTTATACCGGGGCAGAGCAAGTAGGTCAAGCACGTGCAGCCAATGAGCTACTTTGTTTTGCCCGCGATATTTATTACGGCTTCTACTTTTAACATTATGTGCTTTGGCACCCTCATTGCCCCAATATGTCTCTGTCAAAAAAGAGAAAAGTGGACGCAGATTGCAGAGTGTTCCAAGAAAAATGGTCATCCTATTTATTCATGGAATTGAATGGGAAAGCTGTATGTTTGGTGTGTTCAGAGCATGTTGCAGTGCTGAAAGAATATAACCTTTGTCGCCACTATGTGAGTCTTCATGCCGACAAATATGACAACTTTCAAGGACAGCGGAGATGAGAGAAGGTGAATGAACTGTTGGCGGGTCTGAAGAAACAGCAGTCTGTGTTTACTCACAGCCGAGACATCAGTGACGCTGCAGTGAAAGCTAGCTACCTCATTGCTAATGAAATCGCAGTGGCTTCAAAACCATTTAGTGAGGGTGAATAAAAACATGCATGATGAAGGCAGCGGAGATTGTGTGCCCTGAAAAGCGGCAGGCTTTTGCAAATATCAGCCTGACAAGAAACACAGTTGCAGACAGGATTTCCGATCTTTCAGTGGATTTGGACAGCCAGTTGAAGCAAAAAGTAAAGTCATTTATTGCGTTTTCGGTTGCAATTGATGAAAGCACAGACATTACAGATGTTGCACAACTGGCCATTTTCATCCGCGGAGTTGATGACACATTGACCGTCACCGAGGAGTTCGTGGAGTTGGTGCCGATGACAGATACAACGACAGCAGCTGATATTTTTACCGCACTCGTCGGCGCGCTGGACAGGGTCGGAGTGGACTGGTCCCGCGCTGTCAGCCTGGCTACAGATGGTGCAGAGCACCTGAATAACTTGAACAAACAGCTGCAAGGGCGCAACAAAGTTGTCACGCAGTATTATGACAGCATACGTTCTTTCAAGTTGAAGCTGTCATTGTGGGAGACGCAACTTGCCGGTGGTGATGCAGCTCACTTCCCCTGTCTGAAAAATGTGTGCGCGACCCAACATGTGGCAGACATGAAGCAGTTCAAAGATAAAATAACGGGACTGTTACGGGAGTTTGAGCAACGCTTTCAGATTTATGTTTATATGTTTTTATGTTGATGTGCTATTGTTTTTAATTGATTTTATTTTATTTGTATATTTAACCTATTCTTGACTCTGTGGTTCTTGCACTTGTTTGGGGAACAGGATTTCATTATTTTTTATCTACATTTCTGCCTGAGAAATGACACCCTGATATAGTTCTGTGATCTGTGAAACAGTTCTGTTAATCACTGAGGCATTGTGTGTTTGTGTGTTCTTTTTCTTTAGAATTTTCAAATAAACTTGAGGTGTTTTATGATTAATAGTGATGTTGTGCTTGTACTATTTTGGACACACTGTCCTCAGGCTCCAGCTTTATGTTGTATGTTGATCGTATTAAAACAAAGAAAACAATCTGAAGTTGTTGTTTTTAAGTTATATATACCATGATTTTTCCGGTCCGGCCCACTTGGGAATAGATTTTCCTCCATGTGGCCCCTGAGCTAAAATGAGTTTGACACCCCTGGCCTAGTCAAAGCCCAGACCTCAATCCAATTGAGAATCTGTGGTATGACTTAAAGATTGCTGTACACTAGCAGAACCCATCCAACTTGAAGGAGCTGGAGCAGTTTTAGTTTTGCCTTGAAGAATGGGAAAAAATCCCAGTGGCTAGATGTGCCAAGCTTATAGAGACATACCCCAATAGACTTGCAGCTGTAATTGCTGCAAAAGGTGGCTCTACAAAGTATTGACTTTGGGGGGGTGAATAGTTATGCACGCACAAGTTTTCAGTTTTTTTGTCTTATTTCTTGTTTGTTTCACAATAAAATCGATTTAGCATCTTCAAAGTGGTAGGCATGTTGTGTAAATCAAATGATACAAACCCCCCCCAAAATCCATTTTAATTCCAGGTTGTAAGGCAACAAAATAGGAAAAATGCCATGGAGGGTGAATACTTTGTAGCTCAATTGGTAGAGCATGGCGCTTGTAACGCCAGGGTAGTGGGTTCGATCCCCGGGACCACCCATACGTAAAAATGTATGCACACATGACTGTAAGTCGCTTTGGATAAAAGCGTCTGCTAAATGGAATATTATATTATATTATTATTATACTTTCGCAAGCCACTGTATCTTCACCTCTTCACATTAATCACATATGACAGAGAACATTATAATAGACACGGCTCTATTTTAACAACCCTAATGCAATGGTTAATCTTAGCGCTGGCTGTAGTGTTCTAGGTTGTGCGGGAGGGGTCCGAAGTATTTTTGCTATTTTAACATCCGGAATTATGGGCGCAGAGGTTAGTGGTGGCGTGAAAGGGCTGGGTTTTGATGAATAAACAAGTTGTGGGTGTGTTGATGCTTCTCCCCTCTCTGGCCAATCAGAACGTGCTCCATGGCTAAATATGTGGTTGCTTCAAGTTGTGCATTTACGGTCTTTTATGTATTGTGTTCTCATCAACTCCAATTAGAATGTTAGTCCGTTATAGCCTAGTTTGTTAAATTCACTAGGCTATTGATGCCTAAATAGACAGTGTATAAGTTTCACCAAATTCTAATAACCTAAAAAAAATTACTTGTTTTAAATATGCTATGTCTAAATACAGTTACAGGCACCATAATTGCTCCCCAAGGGCGTATAATACAGACAAGGCAGCTTAGACTGTGAAGGGTTTTATGCACATCCAAACTTTTCACAGGAGCTGGATAAAGATCCAATATAATGAGAAAGGGGGAATGTCCACTCACCGTTATACTGCTTGCAAATGTAATATTTTAATAAACATAATGGAACCGTCTTACGGATCATATTTGCACTTCTCCAGAAATAGCAGACGAAATTGCATTGCATTCGAGCCATGTACAGTGAGGGAAAAAAGTATTTGATCCCCTGCTGATTTTGTACGTTTGCCCACTGACAAAGAAATGATCAGTCTATAATTTTAATGGTAGGTTTATTTGAACAGTGAGAGACAGAATAACAACAGAAATATCCAGAAAAACACATGTCAAAAATGTTATAAATTGATTTGCATTTTAATGAGGAAAATAAGTATTTGATCCCCTCTCAATCAGAAAGATTTCTGGCTCCCAGGTGTCTTTTATACAGGTAACGAGCAGAGATTAGGAGCACACTCTTAAAGGGAGTGCTCCTAATCTCAGTTTGTTACCTGTATAAAATACACCTGTCCACAGAAGCAATCAATCAATCAGATTCCAAACTCTCCACCATGGCCAAGACCAAAGAGCTCTCCAAGGATGTCAGGGACAAGATTGTAGACCT